TCCAGTCCCACCTCTGTTACCTGCTCCTGCCCTCCTCCCCGCCTGCTTCCCAGGGCTGCACCTGCCGCCTGCCTTGTGTGGTCCCACCCGATGCGGCCCTGGAGTCTCCACCTTGTCGCTGTATCAGGTGCGTGTATCAGCTCTTATGAGAAGTGTCACAAACAACTTCTTACTAATAATCAAAGTCCTGGAGTCTGTGGGTGATTTTCTTTTTAAATTTTACATTTTAGATTCGTGTAGACTCCAGGCTGGCTCTCCACAGCATCCACCCTGCTGTCATCCTGGTGTGCTCCAGTGAAGAGCAAGGGGTGCCAGTCATTGCCCAAGATCCCAGACCTGCCCCGGGGACTGTCAGGGGATGAGGTTCCTCAAGCAGTAGCCTGGGGTAAGCGACCCTGCCACGACAGAATCTAAACTCCTGTGTCATAGACTCGATTTGCCTCTCGGTCAGCCCGTGGCCTGGCTCCACAGCACTTACCCTGCTTGCCTTGCCCTGGTGCCAGTAGCCGTTTCCAAGTTGTCTTCTCGTCCTGAGCCCCACGTGCCAGCCGGGCAGTGACTATCTTGTGTTTGTATGTTCAGGGCACGGTGCTGGCTCATGGTAGATATTTGACGAAGTATCGTTAAATGGTCGAGTGGCTCAAGGGTATCTGCAGAGTACAGGTGGACTGGTGGGACAAGGCTGGTCAGGGAACAGAACAGGGTTGGTGCCCTGGGTTCAATTAGTGTGTCCTCAGGCGAAGGCTTTGGGGTGTAGCCCAGGCTGCAGCCTAACTCACAGGTATTTTCTTTTTCTCTGCCCTCATCAGTGAGAGCAGGTGGGACATAGGCCTGGCTTCAGTACCGTGTGCTGTGTTCTCGGGAGCAGTGAAGCCTATGGGCTGCTCTGGTCCTCTGCTCTGCCACCAAGCATCACGTTGCTGCTCTGGGTTTCTGTTTCTTCAATCAAAATAAGAGCGAAGGTTAGTCCCCTCTGGCTCTGACATCTAGAGCCCTTCCCCTGGACCACGACGGTGTCTTGTACTTCATTTACACCTTGATCCAGCCCCTCCACCGCGTCACCTCCCGTGAGCTTCAGACCCCTGGTTTGGTGGTGGCTGACTGGGTCATCGAGTGATGGGCTTGGGTGGTTGCCTCTCGGTTCTTCTGAGGCCCCTGTGGCTGGAAGGGGCTCCTCAGTGTCGCGTTGTCCACCCTGGTTCACAGCTGAGTCTCGCTTGAGCCGCCCAGCGGGCTCGTCCCCAGTAAAGGCCATCCCGCCATCCCTGGTGATCCTTCTGAATGTTTAACATCACTCAGTGTCAGAATGTTCTGGTTTAAACCTCCCCATTTAAGCTGCATCTCGCTCTGGTCTGGAGAGACGCTCACGCTCAGCTGTCTGGGGCAGGATCTGCGCCATCTTACTCTACTCTGAATCTTCTCCTTCCCAAGGAGACACAGCCTAGCTCACTGGGCTTTTCCTTCCCTCTCATTTTCTTTTCTTCTTTCCGCATGTTTCTTCTCTGACTTCTTCACGTGTCTTTTCTTTTGAGAGCCCTGGATTTGGCCTCACCTGCAGGACAATGAACGGGGTGGGGAAAGGAGTTGAGGACTGTGCTGAGGTTTGCGGTCTGAGCATCTGGGTGAGCAGGAGTCCTGTTTACTGAGCTCGAGTTGACTGTAGGCCGCGCAGGTGAGGGGAAGCCTGCGAGGGAGTCGTGAGCTGAGAGGGGCTGGCGGTGCTCAGCCGGTGAAGGTGGCCCTGGTCAGGGAGAGGGTGTGGGAGGAGAGACGAGGCCTGGAGACGAGGAAGCCCAGGAAACACCATTAAGGGGCGGGCGGAGGAAGAGGGACTAGAACAGAGACTGAAAAGGAGTCGCAGGTGACAGGAAAGCTGAGGAGATGTGCTGTCCCATAGCTGCGGGTAGCAGCATTCCAGGTGGGGGGCGTGGGCAGGTGCTGTAGTGCGGAGAAGCGCACTGAGGCGGGGCACCGGGGGTCCCTGGGGCCTCAGCGGGGGCACTTCAGGGAGCAGCAGGGGCCGGAGCCAGAGAGGAGTGGGCTTCGAGGGGAGGGGCCGCTGGGGGCCTGCGTCACCGGCATCAGGAGCTGCCCCATACCACGTGCTCTGACAGAGGCTCGGGAAGCCTCGGGCCGCGTTGCTCCCCGCTACCGAGCGACGTTGCCTGTTTATGAGGCCCTGCGGGTGCCAGGCATGGCCCCGGTGCCCAGGACGCAGAGACTGGCCTCCACACCCCCGTGGCCTGTGCTGACAGCGCCAGCGTCCGCAGCTCTTCCCGGGAAGCCTGCCTGACGTCTTGGTGAGGTCCCTCCCGCCGCGGTCCCCCAGCCCTGCAGCGCCACTGCAGCGCCCCTGCACTCCCTGCACCTCGGCTCTTGTCTTCCCTGCCGTGTGTGGGGGGGCATTTTATTCTCATCTGCCCCCCGCCAGCCTGGGGGCCACGTGCACACAGGGGCATGGCCTACCTTATACTGTATCCATCACACAGGAAGACTGCCAATGCCTACTAGGCTCTGGATAAACATTGAAGGAAAAAAGAGGTGTGAGTTAACGTGGCAAAGAACATGGACACAGAAGCCACTCCTGTGCAGAGGGCTGGGGGCTCCGGTCGAGGGCTGCTCCGTTGGGTCTGGAGGAGTGAATGTCGGGCTTCACCCCGGAGGTGGCGTCTGGAGAGTTTTGTCCTGGGATTGGTTTCATATGGTTACTACCCCTTACATCCTCTGCTCTCTTCTCTCCCCTCCGGCCTCACTGTCCCGTCAGTGGGCCCCGGAGTAGGCAGCTGGCTGAGAGCCATTCTCTTCATCTTGCCTTAGATCTTGCCTTGTCTTCTGTCACCTTGCCAGAGGACAGCCTGAGCCTGTCTTCTCATTGCCCCAAGCTCCCAGGCACGTCAGAAGTCGGAAAAGTCAAAAAGCCCCACAAGAAACACACACTCTCAGGATCCATGGGGCAGGAGTCCCCTGTGTGTGCTGACTCCTCCATGATCAGAGCCAAGACCCCACCTGCCACGCTGGCTTCTCCTGGCTCCATGTTCAACACCGGAGCTCTCAACACCCCTTCTGAACTTGGCCGGGGCGCCAGGGAGCACCTGCCAGGGGCTGAGGTCAGACTTGAGTTTGTATGCGAAGGGGAGGAGGCCGCAGTGGCCCCGGCAAAGTCAGAAGCCCCGGCTCCCAAAGGAGGAGTGGGAGGGACCTATCCCTGCAGGGGAAGAGACCAGCCCGCGCCTCAGCAGCAACATGCAGGTCCCGGCACCTGACCAGGCTTTCCTGGAGGAGCAGGAGGAAGGCCTCCTGGGGCTGCGTGTCCGCAGTGAGAAGAGAGCAGCCTGCCCTGGAGAGGCCTGGTCTTGGCCTGGCTGCCCCCTGTGCAAATGGCCACCCCGCTGCTGGGCAGGATAAGCCAGAGGGAGACTCCGGACCCTGTGGCCTCCAGTCCGTGCTGGGGCAGGAGCCCCTGGTGCAGCCTGAGAGGAAGGTGTCCAAGTGGAAGGCGAGAGGAGGGGGAGCTGGCAGGAAGGAAGTCGAGGGACCCAGTGCTCAGCCGCAGTCCAGTCCCTTCTGACTTCCTGCTGCTCCAGGCGGCCAGCCCGGACAAGCTGGAGGCGGGCCAGCCTGGCGAGGATGAAGCAGCGAGGCCAGCCGACATCCTCATAGCCCACCTGGCCGGAGAGGCGCGTCACCTCAAGACGCGGAAGAAGAGGCGCTTGCTTCCTGGGGAGGACCGCGCAGGCCGAGGCCAAGGGCTGGGCTCCTGGGCACTCCCCGGGCCCCCTGGACACCCTGGGTCAGAGACCGTGCCTGAGACGCTTCTTTACCATCAACTGCAGGAGTGTCTGCCGTGTCACGTGCACTGTGTGCCTCCGAGCGTCAGACAGGGCAGAGTTAAGGGGCGGCCCCAGCCTGCAGCTCTGCTCTGTCACTTGGCAGCTAAGCGCGGGCGGGAGGTGGGGAGGAAGCCAGCTGCAGCCGACCCTGGGGGGGAGCGGGGAGGGGGGCCCGAAAAGGAGCAGAAGGACCTGCCCACGGGGGCCACCAGCCGTGCCCCGAGGAGCTGCATTCACCACGCTGCCGCTGGGTGCCTCACCTCTGGAAGATGGTGACGGACAGGCGGGCCCGAGCAGCTGGTACAGGCTCGGCCTCCCCCGCCTACTCCCACCGACGGCAGCTGGGGAGGACTGAGGTGACGTGTGTGCCCCCAGCCAGCTCCGAGCACGGGCCTGGAGCCAGAGCGCTGCCCCTCTCCTTTGTCTTGGCCCCGCTCTTCAGGAGGTTTAGGGCCCAGGTGGACCATTGCTACCGCCTGCCGTCTCCAGCCTTCTTCTCCCGTGAAGCCCTGCCCCTGCTGCACGGGGCGATGGGCGAGCAGGTGCGTCAGGGGATGCAGTGGGCCGAGGGCGGCCGCGTCCACCTCACTGTTTCCGTGGCAGCCCGGGTCGCGGACGTGGACTACGCGGCTGTCACCGCCCACTGTGGGGTGACGCAGCTGCGTGGCCGGCAGGTGGCGTCAGGCAGCCCGAGGAGGCAGGCCATGCCTGGGTCCGACGCCTGCCCCTGGACAGGGCTGCGGAGACGGGCCGCGGGAGCTGCAGGGGCCGCTCAGCCTCTGTGGCTTGGCCACAGCTCTGCGCCTGGGCTTCCTGGTGTCGGGCGGCTGCCCGAGTCTGGAGCAGGCCGTGAGGACGGGGCTACACCCACACCCCTCGCTTCGCCCACTGCCTCGACTCCCTGGTGGGAAACTTCTGTGTCACCAACATAGTGTTCAGATCATGCTGGGCACGGCTAGGGCCAGCTGCAGCCACTTCCAAGGCTCCGCGGAAGCCCGGCGGCTCCTCCCAGCTGCAGCGGCAGTGCGGCCTCCCAGCCCACCAGCCCTTCTTGGGGCTCTCGCATCCCTGGGTGTCCGCCTACCACTTGCTGGAGTGGCTGGAGAAACGGCAGCTGGGGAAGGCAGGGCCAGCCCTGTCGGCCGTGCTGCGGAGCCTGACGGACAGTCTGGTCAAGCTCCCGCAGCCCTTCTGGATGGTGGTCCGGGAGGCGAGCGCCGCGCAGGCCGCCTTGAGCCTGGTGCTGCCCCAGCTGCGCTACCTGCACGTCTTCCTGGCGCAGGTTCACGGGCGCTTTGAGGAGTGGAGCACCGGGGAGATGGGCGCGGCCGTGCCGCTGGCCGAGGGCCTGGCCCTGCAGCTCTCCACAGACCACCAGCTCCCTGAGCTCTTCCACCGTGAGGAGTTCGTGCTGGCGACCCTGCTGGACCCTGCTTCAAGGGCAGGATAGAGGCTGCCCTCCCCGAGGGGGCCGACATCAACCATTGGAAGCAAGTTCTCGCGTACGAGGTGAAGGAGCTCGTGGTGTCTGAGTACTCCTGCCGCCCTCCCCTTCCCTGCAGGGCCCCACTGCTGTGCGTGTGGATGCCCCTGAGCCGCGCAGGAGCCAGGAGCCCTGGGGCCGAAGGGAAGGGCCGGGAAGCGCCCGAGCAGAGAAGTGGGACCTCTGGGTCCTTGCTGCTGGGCCAGAGGGAGAGGAGACTCCCGGAGCAGGTGGAGAGCGGGGGGCTGCTGGTCTCGGAGGGGAGCAGCACTTCCCTTTCCACGGGGAGCCACCTGGTCAGCAGCATCCGCAGGAAGTAGCTGCGCGAGACGAGACGGTGGGGGCCCAGGAGGACCGCCTGCTTACTGGCAGAAGCGGCGGGACGTCCGGCCAGACCTGGCGAGACTGGCCACCATCGTGGAGCATGACTCCCCTCTCCCAGGGGAGATGGCTGAGCGTCTTCTCTTCTTGAAGACCAACCTGGAGCATCTCCCGAGCTACACCCGCGCCCCTTATCTTCCCCAGCAGGGACCTGGCCGAGGCGCGCAGGCCGGTGAGTCTGACCGCAGGGTCTGATGCCCTGAGAAGCTGCCTGTGGGAAGTCTGCATAGATGACGGGAGGGGGCACAGTGTCATGTCCTAGGACATTAGACGGGGACAGCCAGGCTCCAAAACTTGTTTGAAAAGAATGAGGACAGTTTCTCAGTTCTTGACAGATCGTCATTTTCGTTTTCGCGGAGATGTCATCTTCCATCTGCCCACTGCTGGAGTCACTGCCGGCAGTACGTGGGCGGGAGGGCGGGCTCTGGTCGTCGGTGACTCTTGAGTTGTACCATGCAGCGTATGGACCGCGGTGCTCCTTGAAAGTGTCGCTGGGCGAGGGGCCCTACACGCGGCTTGTCCGTGTGTGTCAGGGTGGCAGGCCCTCAAGGTCTGCGTTCTCAGAGAGCAACCAGGCACTGTGCGGGATATCCTCAGCCACCTAGGGCCTGGGTAAGCCGTGGACACTCTTCCTGGAAAGGAAAGAAACCCTAATATGATAGAGTAGCCACTTTAAGAGGGAGTTGCCCACGTGCACACTGGTCTTCTTAGGGTCTGTACTTGGCCGTGGATCCCGGGGTTCCCAAGAGCCCTGGTGGAGGGCGCCGCCCAGCTCCTGCGGGCATGTGATCGAGGAGAGCTGGGACGCCCAGTCATCACGTGGCCGTTGTCGCCTGTAGTTTGTTTCCAGACTACTGGAAGCCTTGGGGTTTCTTCTTTCTACAGTGAAAGCAGTCTGAGGAAGCAAGAAAGGGCATGTATCCCAGTGACTGACCGGCCTGAGTTCCTTTAGGGTCGAGTGCAGGACCTGAGGGCATGGGGCCCAGGCCCTGGTGGGATCAATGGGAAAAGAAGGAAGGGTGAGGCCGGAGTGTTTGGGGCGGGGCTCGTCACACCCAGAAGACACAAGTCCAGCTCCGCTGAGGTGCTGGACCGCTGGGAGAGGGACTTTGAGAGGGAAGGGGGGGTGTAGAGGCACCAAGGCCTAACTTGCACTTTGGCCCTGGCTGTGCAGTTGAGCCCGGGAGCCTGTCCCCTGGCTTCCCCTGTGTCACTGACTAATTCACTGTAGGACGTTCGGAAGTTACTGAGAACGTAAGGAAGCAGGAACAATTCACCGTAATCCTTTCACTCAGCCTCTATGAAAACTGACATATTTCCTTTTCTACCTTGAGGTCATGTCCTCTGTGCTCGTTAGTATGCTGTATTTTCAGTTTAACAGTGTAAATGGCGTTTTCTTGAATAAGGCTTTACACAGATTGCGTTCAGTGGTCGGAGCACCACGATAGGAAGTGAAGTCTCACGTCCACACTGCTCAGGTCGTGTCTTCTTCCCCAGCTGCTGCAGGGCATGTCTGCATAGGCTCCCTGTGAGGAGAGGCCAGCGCGCCTGGGGGAGAGGCTGGGACTAGGGCTGCGCTCCCTTAACGTCTGGACTCTGCATCCAGTGCATTTGGGTGGTGAGATCGGGGCCCGGCCCTGGACCTCTCCCTGTCTCCCTGCCTCCGTTCCTTAAATTGCACGTGGGTCTCAGACTTCAACGAGAATCACCTGAGAGCATCTTAAAACTGAGGCGTCCTGTCCCTCCCTCGCAGGTTCGGGTGTAGTAGGTCAGGTGGGGGCAGGATGTCATGTGCCCTAACTAAAGCAGTCCAGGGGGCCGTGTATTGGTCAGTGCTGCCACCCCTCGAGCTCCTCCTGGGAGAGGCACTGTCCCCTTGCCGTGTGGCCTCTCCTCAGCGGCTCTCCTTGTTCTCGGAGAGGGGAGGCCTGGACCGGCGAGGCACCAGGGTTGGGGGGTGTGAGGAAGACGAGGGCAGTGAAAGGGAGGAGATGAGAAGCTTGACGGTCCCGAGCTTGGGGGCTTGGGCTCTGGAGAGGTGGTTCTCAACCGGGGGCAGTTTTGTCCCCCAGGGATCATTGGGCAACGCCTGGAGATGTTTTGGTTGTCACAGCTTGTGGGGGGATTGCCACTGTCCTCTCGTGGGTGGAAGACAGGGACGCACAGAGGAGCCTCCGCAGCAGAGACTTACCCTGGCCCCAGATGGCGGCAGTGCCGGGTCCGAGAACCCTGCGCTAGGTTGTGGTCGGGAGGGAATGGGGCGGAGGAAGGGGCCCCAGTTCACCGAAGCGGCCAGGTGACTGTCCACCTGAGGCTGCTCCGAGTTGAACCATTTCTTCCCTAGACTTGGCTCTGCCCTGCCCTGGCGACTCACGGCATCCTCTTCTGGCCCATTCCCTACATAGGTAAACTGAGACTCAGAACTGCTGGCTCTGAACAAGGGAAGATGGGCCTCCCTCCAGAGATCCAGAGTTACCTGTTTCAGTCATAGCCTTGTCCGTGTGACCGAGTCCTTTTCACAGACACACGTTGGGCTAGTGCCTCTGTTCGCTCATTTCCATAAGAGGACCAGGGTGATTCTGGTTTTTTAGAGGAACGTTGACGCTGTTGCATGTGGACGAGCCATTCTCACATTGCGCGGAGCCTGCTGTCCGCTGCTGGCCTCTGCGTTGGCTGGGTTTGCACAGGCGTGTGGGCCCCGGCCTGGTTGAAGTGTGCAGATTTGGGGTAAAGCGGGGCACAGGAGCGGAGCAGAGGTCATGGACACGCTGGAGAATCAGGGTTTGACTGCGGTGCTGTTCATCTAACTGCAGACAAGGGCGTGGGACCCAGGGCCGAGGGCACAGAGCCAAGTGCTGGCGGGGCACGTGTCTCCTGCCAGATGGGACCTTGGGGGCACAGGAGGCCTGATGTCCAGTCCCAGTGCCATCTTCCCGCTCCCCTGTCCTCTTCCGCAGAACGTGGGCACGCGCACACCATTCTCTGCCCGCCCCCTTGTTCTTTCTCTCCCTTTGCGCACCACCTCCATCCCCATTGCTGGCGGGGCTCCTCAGGGCACCGCTTCCCCCCCAGCCCGTCGCCCCGGCGGCGGCGGGGCATCTGGACACGGGGCTGGTGGCTCTTCCCTGGAGGCCTGGCGTGTTGTATTCCCCACCCCCGGCTGCTCATCGGTACCCTCCGTTCAGCCTCGAGCATGTGGGTGTTCGCCCGACTTCAGCCCCTTCACCAGGACTCCCTGACCGCTTTCACCCCCAACGTAGTGGCTGGGAGGATGTGCGCACCCCTGGAGAGAGGCCCGCAGATACTTGAAGAGGTGGTGTCCCCCCGAGGCTGGCCCGTTGCGCCTCGCTCTCACAGACGGTGCCTGGACCCCGTCATCCTGGACTCGTCGCTGCCTCCTGAGGCCGATGCCACAGGACACCCCAAGTGCAAGACGGGAGCCCGGCCTCCAGTCACATGGCCAGGTTCCGGGCACACGTCCTCCTCCCTCCTCGCCCTCGGGCGGGGTCCTCGTCTCTGGCTATCTGGCTAGTGCTTTTATGGCCCATCTCCGGTGCCCGGTGCCCTGTGGGCCAGAGCAGGTTTAACCAACGTGGAGGTGACCGCATCGCTCGCTGCTTACAAACCCAGCAGATGCTACCCCGGAGTGACCAGGTTTCTTAGCGGGTGCCTCCATGCCTTTTGGACAGAAACGTTGGTAGAAGTGAAGAAGGAGCTGGGCTGCTGAAGACTGGAGGGGGGCTGGGGAAAGATGTAGGGCCCCCTTCTCAGAGACGGGGTGGGGGTCAGATGTGTTAGCAGCCTCACCAGCATCCTGGGGCGTGTGGGAGGAGCTCTGGGTCTGATTTCCTTGGAGGGGGCCTGAGGAGTGGCGTTGCTATGGAAACGCAGACTCGGGGCCTGGCGGAGGCTCTGGAGCCCCAGGTTTTGTAAACAGCAGGAGTGAATGGCTCCTTGTTTCTCTGCAGGCCTCACCCAGCCTGGCCTGGTCCGGGCCAGAGTCTGTGGGGTTGGGGAGCTGCCACTTGGAGCAGAGGTCTGCTTGTTTTCCTCTCTTCTTAGACCCTGAGCCTTCTGCGCTTGCTCGGCATCGCCGGCGTCCCTCCCCCTGGCCTCCTGCCTCGCGCTCTTGTCTTGCACTGACACCTGGGTTTCTGCCACCCCACGGCCACTGGCGAATAGAAAGTACCCTCCCTCCCCTTTTCTGGATCCAACATAGGTGCCACCCTGCCCCTCCCTCCAGGATGGCTTCCTTGACTGCCCGGCCTCCCCTCCCCAACCCCCCTTTGCCCGTGTTTGCAGCTGGAACCACGCTATCTGGCTGGCAGCAATGGGCACTGTTCTGTTGGTGCCACAGTGAAGAGCTGGTCTTGACAGGCAGGTTCGGGGAGCAAAGGTGAGGGGCCTGGCAGTGCTGCCACTTACTCCCTGTGCCTCCGCTGTCCCTTCCCTCCCTCGACCTCAGTTTCCTCATCAAGGACTGAAGGCTGAGCCCTCAGGCCACACAGCTGCCACCAGAGGTCACAAGTTGGCCCATGGAACGTGGAAACCACTTTGAATTCATTGCTGATTTTTTAAAAAATTGTCAAGGAGGCCCAGGTGCTCTCATTTGTGTTTGCCAATGCATGGCTCTCCCAGGAAGGAAACGAGATTGGCGATGATGGTGACCTGTTATCTCTTCAAAAATAAGTGTAAATGGTTAAAAGGAAACACCTCAGAGTTAATACAAGTAATCGTGAGCAGTTACGAGAAAGGAAAGTAACGAGATTGTGTCGCCGGAGCAGATCTGGGAGACGGGAAGAATTGGTAAAGGCGGGCCTGAATCCCATCCAGCATGGCCATAACCGCCAGGGCCGGGTCAGGACCCCCATAGGCAAGGGCCTGTGCCTGGCCCACCTCCCTCGGAGGGGCTCTTGACCCTCCTGCGCCCTGGACTCCTGTCCTCGGGTCCTGCCGGGCCTTCTAGGTCTCTGGCCCTGGCGGTGGGGGCTGGGCGGTCACTGAGGCGCTCAGAGGCCCGCTTACTCTTTGACTGTTTCTCCTCAGGGACCTGCTGGCCCTTGAGCGGGGGTGTCGGAGACAGGCGTCCAGCCCAGGCCGAGTGGACGGGGCGTCCTTTGGGGTGAGCAGCCCGCTGACCGCCAGTGGCACCTGCGTCACCGTGACGGAGCTGCCGGGGCCCCGGCCACCTGGACCCACTTCGTCTCATGGAGCCTCGGGGTGAGAAGTCGGGAGAGGCCGACGGGGTGCGTGTCACCCCTCAGCTGCTCAAGGCGCGCTCAGGTGAGTTCGCCCTGGAGTCCATCCTGCTGCTGAAGCTGCAGGGCCTGGGGCTGGTGGACCTGGGCTGCCTGGGGGAGTGCTTGGGCCTCGAGTGGCTGGACCTTTCGGGCAACGCGCTCACCCAGCTGGGCCCGCTGGCCTCCCTGCGCCAGCTGGCCGTGCTCAACGTGGCCAACAACCGGCTGACGGGGCTCGAGCCCCTGGCCACCTGTGAGAACCTGCAGAGTCTCAACGCCGCGGGCAACCTGCTGGCTGGCCCCAGGCAGCTGCAGTGTCTGGCGGCGCTGCCGGGCCTGGAGCGCCTGCGGCTCCGCGACCCCTCGGCCCGGCTCAGCAACCCGCTGTGCGCCAGCCCCTCCTACTGGGCCTCGGTCCGAGAGCTGCTGCCCGGCCTGAAGGTCATCGACGGCGAGCGCGTGAGCGGGCGCGGCAGTGACTTCTACCAGCTGTGCCGGGACCTGGACAGTTCCTTGCGCCCCGGCTCCAGCTCCGGCCCGCGAGCCGTGGAGGCCCAGCCCTGGGTGGAGCCTGGCTACTGGGAGTCCTGGCCCACGCGCAGCAGCTCCATCCTGGAGGAGGCCTGTCGCCAGTTCCAGGACACGCTGCAGGAGTGCCACGACCTGGACCGCCAAGCCAGGGACAGTCTGGCCCAGGCCGAGCAGGCGCTCAGCCCTGCCCACGCCACCTCCTTTGTCTTTTGAATGCGCCCTGTGGCCGTGCCCCTTGGGGTTGGTACGCTGTGGCCTCCCTGCTTTTCTTCATGGTTTCATCATGCTGGCCACTGGCCCTGCACACGGGCGTCTTATGGGCCCCCTCGCCTAAGAGCAGCCCCTCTCCCTCTCACACCTCCCTCAGGGAAAATTCCCCACCCATCCATCAGGGACACAGCTCCCTTGGACCCTCCTCAGGCAGCTGGCACCGTGTGAGGCTGTTCTGCACCTACGCTGTGCTCCTGGGAGGAGGCCTGGTCTCCTCTTGTCCATAACTGCTGCCACTCCTGGCTGCCTGAGCCTGAGGCTTAGTGGAATAAAGTTGCTTGGTCCTAAGGCTAAAGGTGAGAGGCAAGGACGGCGAGCCTCCTGCCCAGCCCGTCCTGGGAGAGGACGCGGCAGAGCTCGGAGCGTGGAAGCTGCATTTTCCAGGTTGGCCTGTGCAAGTGACCCTGTGCTATGCCCCCCAGTCCCGGGTCTCCCTGAAGCCTCCACTGCCATGCCCACCCGTGCCAATCCCCATTAAATACTCGTGTTTTAATTTGCATCTCTGCCTGTCATTGCATGTGGGCGTGCTTCGTTTTCCCCGGCGTGGGCCCCTGAAAACGAGCCTGGGTCCCTGCTGCCTCTGGCCTTTCCTGAGGAAGGAGGAGCACACAGCTTACTGGGTGTCCTTCTGATGGGAGGCATCGTGCTCGCCCTCGCCCTCGCCCTCTCGGGGCTTTGCTTCCTCCCCGTGAGGCTGGAGCACTGGGGCCCTTTCCTCCCGCTGCTCTCAGGAGGGAGGGAGGGAATGCGAGGGGAGGAGAGAACGCAGCTCTAGAGCACTTTTATTAGGGACAATGGGACAGTCCTCCTTGGGCGCAGAGAAGGGAGGGCGGGCTTTCACTTGTTAACCTCCCTCACGCTGCTTCCAGGAAATTCTAGAGGGAAGGGAAGAGAAACTAAGACTGGGTATGACGGGGCTGTTTGGGCCCTGTCCCAGCTGTCTTCAGGCTCCCAGCCCCTCTCCTCCTGCCTCCCGCAGCCCAGCCGCAGCCCAGCCGCAGCTCCAGCCTCCTCTCCATCCCTGCCCCACCTGGCTGTCCTCCACCTCGTCCTTCCTCCCTCCTTCCTGGCGGGCCACCTACCAGTCAGGCCTCAGCTGGGGGGCAAGGCTTTGAAGAAGGCGAACTGCCCGGGGAAGTAGTGGCCGTGAGGGTCCTCGCCGGCGCGCTCCGCCCTGCTGCACTGGGCCTCCTGGCGCTCCTGCAGCTCCTGCAGCTCCTGCGGCAGCCGCAACGCTCAGGCTGTGCCCCCTCCACGCCCCCATCCCCCAGGCCCAGAGCCCTCCTCGCCCCTCCATGCAGGCTTCCGCCTCCGACCTCTCCCACAGGCCCAGTTTCTGTCCACCAGCTCCCTCCCCAACCTCTGCTCCGTCCTCCGCGCACTCTTACCCGTTGAACCTGTGTCTCTATGGGGCAGTGGACCATCCGGCCCAGGACTTTATCTTCAGGGTCCAGCTTGATGCAGGCCAGGCATTTCCGCTTTCTCTGGGGAGGGGCGCATAGAGCCCAGAGAGGAAACGGGTGAGTGAGGGGAGGCCTGCGGCCCCGAGGGTGAGAGTGGGAGCTGGGGGGCAGTGTACAATGGGGGTTCCCCTGGCAGGCCAGGTGGTTGCAGGCTCAGCCCACCCTCAGACCGGGAAATTTCGCAAGTCAGACCATCCTGCAGTTTTCTATGAACCCTGAGTGAGTGTGTGTGCACGCGCGTGTGTGTGTGTGTAGGTGGGACTCCTCGTCCAGGTGGATTCTCCCCACCTGACTTCCACCTGAGCTGCTCTGCTGTCATCTGTTATATCTATTCGTATTTTCTTGTAAGATTTGAACACAATGGTCCTGGTATAAAAGTCTAGAAAACCACTAGTATAATCCAGTCCCTCCCTTAACAGATGGAGGAAACTGAGGCCTTCAAAGAACCTGGGAAGTAACAGGGCTGGTGGTTGGCAGAGCTGAGACTGGACACCAGATGGTTGCGTTCCCGGCCCCAGGATCGCCCCCATGGCAGTGACTTTGCCCCCATGGTGGCTGATGACAATCAAGCCCTGTTAGGAATCAGCCGGGGCTGGGCCATCTCCACTTGAAAACACACAGGAAATGGGACATTCACCGGGCCTAAGGTGGGGACCACCCGAAGCCCATACCATGGCCTTCTTCCACCGGTGACACGAAGCCTGAGAGAGGAACTTGGATGGCATGGAAGGTGGACCCACTCTGAAGAGCACGTGTCCTTGGGGGTAGCCCAGCCGTCCCCCCTCCTGCCTGTCCAGGCCCCCAGCCCACCTGCAACCATCACAACCACCAGCCGAGACAGGCAAGTCAGCTGCCAGGGAGGCTGCTCCGCCCTGGGGTCTCCAACCTGAGGCTTCTCGCTGGATCTCCTACTGAACCCCAGTCGCACACCCCCGCGCTGAGCGCATGCCCCATCACACGCACGTGCCTTCACTCACCCCACTGGGCTTGACCTTGCACTCAGCTTTCTTCCAGTCCTTCTTCCGGCAGTTCGTCTGCTGGAGCTTAAACTCCAGCCTCACAAAGGTCCCGGCTGGGAAGGGCTACCCACAGACAGAGGAAGGCCAGCAGTCAGCTGAGCAGGCAGCGCCCTTCCTGGACGTGACCTGTCCCTCCTCCCTCCCCCCCACCGTGAGACAGCAAGTCCCAGGAGATGGCTGGGCTGGCTGGCCCTTCTCTGGAGAGCTGGGCGCCTCTGGGGCCCAAGTGCCTTTGTACCTCCTCCCTGGGAATGTGCCGACCATCCCCCTCCCCTCCCTGGGGTGCCGCTCACCGTGTCCATGGCACTGTCCACACTGGTCTCCCGGAAGGCCCACTGCACGGGCGGATGCTTGTGGAACTCCTCCAGGGCCACCTGCAGGCCCAGGTGCTGGGCCGCCGTGAGCTCATCCCTGCCCAAGCCCATCACGCCCGGCCACAGGGCCAGCGGGAGCAGCAGCTGCCACATGGCTTCACCTTAGTCCCCCTGACCCTGCGAAGGGCATGTGTGGCTCCTCAGCTCATGTGCCAGCCCGCAGAGCCACCAACTCCCGGGCCCTGTGGCTTGGGGACCACATCTGGTAGAGCTCTGGGCAGAGGTGCAGGGACAGGGAGTGGCGCTTTGCAGAGATTCCCCTGGTATTCCCCTGGCCCTTCCCCTCCCCTCCCCTGCCCCCACTGTTCCCAGGTCCAGCTCAGGGCGGCTTTGGCCCTGTCCTGGGTAGGTGCTGAGTTGGCTGTGGTCCTCAGGCCAGCCTTGGGGGCAGCACTGTTGCCCCCTCCAGCCCTCCCCCGCTTTTCTGGCCCATCTTCTCTCCCATTCTCTCTGACCCCAGTCCCCAGACTGCTGGCTCTGTGGGGTCCCGGGCCCTGACCCTCAGCATGCGCCCCCCGACTGGAGGTGGGGAGGGGCAGGCCCAGAATGGAGGCCAGCTGGAGGCTGAATATTTTGGGGAGGACGTAAACACGAGGGAGGGGCCCAGAGCCGGTGGGAAGTGGGAGGATGCTTAACCCTCCCTGTGCTGAAATGGCCCGGTGCCCTTGGCCCTCTGAGCCCCCCACCCCAGAAATGCGGGCCTCTCCTCGGCCCCACCAGGGCTTTCTTTCCGGAGCAGACCCTCCCTCCCTAGCTGTTTTTTCTGGAGCTTTCGCCACCAGCCCTCTCCCAGCCCTCTGATCCCGCCCCCCCCCAATCCATGACTGGGGTCTCCTGAGGGCTGGACCCTCCCCAGGAACTCTGCCTGTACAGTCTTCTTGGGACCAGAAAGCCACAGATGTGGAAAGTGAGACCCCCGCGGTGAAAAGCTACCAGGGTCTTGCCTTGAAGAGAGGGCTCACAGACAAGTTGCCCAATCTTGCCCTTTGGAGCTGCGCCCTTTGCCCGCCCCATCCTCCCGTCCAGCTGTCCTGCCATTCTCCCCCCCTCACCTCCTTTCTTGCGCCTTGGGGTCTCTCCTACGCTTCCCCTCCTGCGGCCACGCCCCCGCCCCCCTGGTCCCCCCTCTCCCCCCCCCCCCCCCCCCCCCCCCGCTAGGACCGCCCGCCCTCCCGGGACTTCCCTCCCCATCCCACCCTCCCCTCCCCTCTCCTCCCGCTGCCCCCGCAGAGGAGCCCCAGCTGTTGGCCGGCTCGGCTCTGCTCGGCTGGCCAGGCCTCTTCGCAGCGGATGTGGGACTGCCCTGCCCCCCAGGTAGGGCTGCCCTTTCCTTAGGCCCTTCCCGGGCGACCAGTCCCTAGCGTCCCCGAGACACTGATTTCAGGAAATTCTTGCCAGAAACACAGACATCCTCAAAACCACATGAGACCTTGAGGAGTCATTTGATCTCTCTCCCTGCTTCCCGCGCCCTAAAGCCGCTCTGAGAGGGAAGCCGTCTCCTTTAGAGGTGACTCTGGTGTCTGACCACCTCCAACACCAGCAAACATGTCCAGTCGTGAAGGATCACGTCCCACCCATGGTGGCGACAGACTGCAGCGTCTCATGTGGTGAAGGGTGAGGTGGGATTCATAAGGCTGATGGGGAGTCAGGGAAGACAGGGGTCCCAACTCCTGCTGGTCCTGAGCAAATAAGAACAAGCTCTGGGACTTGGTGTGTCCGTCACCAGGGCTGATCTCCCGCAGAGAGGACCTCATTTAACTGCCCAAATCCCTGGAACTTCTGCTCCCTTCTCTGTGAGGGGGGGGGGGGTCAGAGACCCTACCTTTAGGGGTTGTTTTGAGGATTAAATGAGCAAAGTGGAAAGTGACAGATGACCCAGTGTTTGGCACAACTTTTTCTTCCCTTCCCTATGTACGCCTGCCAGGATTCTCCACGTGGAGCTGAAAGCTTCCTTTGCAGTGTGCTCTGGGGGTGCCAGAAAGATCCTTGGCTTCAATTAGCCAGTTCTGGTGGCTGAAATCCCACCATCAACATTTCAGCCCCATCTGTGAGCTGTCGACAATCATTAAGCAGAGATGAGAGCTGGGGTCTTTGTTCTCCAGGAGCTTCCGGGGTGGGGGGTAGAGAGACAATAGGCATGCAGAACACATTTCCCAGCCCAGGGCCTCGTGCTGGGAGACGTCCTGGGGGTGGGTGACCAGAGAAAACTTTGAGCTGAGGACAAGCTGGGACAGAAGTCCTCCTGCCTTTGGTAGGGGCCGTATGAGGCCTGGGGGAACAAGGGAGTCTTGGTGCAGCTTGGTGGCAGCTGGCAAGGAAGGAGGCTGGGGGCTGGGTGCAAATACAGTGTAGGTCACACAGCGAGACCAAGTTCCCTTTGGGTGAAAGGAATGTGAGGGGCGAGCAACCGCACTGCAGGGCAGTCACGGGTGGGGACATGGGAAGGGGCTACTTAACGCACATTCATGAGCTCAGCACCAGGTGACACATCCCAACCCAGGGGAGCGGTGACAGCACTTAGCTACTCAGTAGTGGTTAATGATATTCTCGGGCATCACAGTTGAAAGTGGAGATTCACATATCCGAGTCGTTCTGGCAAAGTTTTCCAATAACCGAACTGAGCACACAAAACATTTTCCTTTA